AAAACCCAACAGGGAGAAGATTAAATCTTGAGGCTTGAGAATAATCTTTAACTCCACATCCCATCTTCTGGATACACTGGGGTGGGAGTTGGGCCTCCAAGCCTCCGAGCAACGCCACACTCACAGCTTTGCTGGCTGCAGTACTCACATATTAAAATCACATGCCTTTGACTCTCCCTGGCTGGAGTTGCACACTGGAGACTCTATTTGTCAGGGGTCTCCAGGGTGGCTGTGCTTGCACAACTCCACTAGGCATTGCCCTAGCGGGGACTTCTGCAGTGACCTCACTCCATGGCTCCAGATACTATGTAGATACCTTGCTCATTATTAAAAGAAAGGAATTAGCAATTGCAAAGAGTGTATTATGAGACAGATATTTTACATATGCCGTCTCCTTCAATCCTTCAGGTAGATTTTATTTTCATTTCAAAGAGAAAGAAACCAAAGGCTCAAAGAGGCAAGTAAATTATTAATCAGGACCAAACACAAGATTGTAAAATGCAAATATGTCATAGTTTACCATTTGGCATGCTGAGAAATTGGTAGCAGCACTGGTCACCTAATATTAGATAATTAGATCAGTAATCTGATCTGTCATATTGCAAATCTCCTAGATAAGTTTTGGTATTGGAAGGCGAAGGTGTGCAGGACTTATAACCTAGTAGACAGAGAATGGTTGAAGAAAGAGGTGTGTAAGCCAGATCTCCGAGTTGCTAATCCTATCTGATCTCATGCATTTTTAAAAAAATTTGAAGTTGATGTTAGCTTACCAAAATTTCAAAATGGATTTTAATTAGATTGTGTCTAAATTAATTATTTTGTGTCTAAAGTGCTATGTATCGGGATAATTAATATTTCACTATCTTCCTTCATGAAGTGTGGAGCTTCCTATTGAGAACATTCGTGATAGCCAAGCAAATCCTTCAATAAAGCTTTCATTCTCTTTGTTAATCTTGGAACAGTTTGAAAGATTTTTAAATTGAAACTGTTTCTTTTTTTTCAATCCATTCAACATTTATTAAATTCCTTAATAAGTTACTGAAGGAAAGCAGTGATATTTTTCACAATATTGAGATTAGTTCTTGAGGATGAGAAGAAATAATGTTTGTCCTATTTAGAATATTATAGATGACTTAAGGGCACTTGAATTTTTTTAACCTACGTAGGAAGTAAGTGCCTTGGAAAATATGAAAAATGAGAATGTTCAGTGTCAGCAAAAGGAAAAAAATTCAACTTAAGGAACTTTATTTTAATATTTATAGAACTCATGAAAATTTGAACAGCTGTATGTCCAAAATTATAGGAAATATGCTGCCTTAGTTTTGAAGAGGAAGTATTGAACTTTTGCCTGCATAAAAGGACAATTCTAGAAATAAACCTTTTGCTTTATTTATGATGGTCAAGTGTATGTATGGGCAACCATTTTTAATAAATTTAATATGTGTACTATATTTGATCACTATTGTCTTTCGTTTTGCTTTTGAACACTAAGAAAGAATACAAAGTACCTTATGGCACAGATATCTAAGTACCTGTTTACCTCTTTAGATACTGGTAGACCACTTGTTTTGCTTGTCTTTGGAATTGGAAGGAGTGTCAAATACACAGAAGTCAGAGTCATCTTGGCCAGATGGTGTTTGATACAGATGGATGGTTAGTTGTCATGCAGATCTCCTAGTTGGTAACTTGTTGCTGCCATCTGACTCAAAGAATCATTCACACACACTGGCTGTCAAAAGCATCTTCTCTTCTGTCTGTTTTAGCTGTCATGTCTGTGCTCTGTACAGAAGTGTTGACAAGACATTGCTGTTGTACATTTTCAATGTGGTTGTTAGTGATTTTTCTGTTTTGTGGGGTCTTTGATAGTACTGGAATGCACTTGCTTTGTAACTGTATTGTTTTAGAAGAAAATGCTGTAACTGTGCAACAATTATATGACCATTTAAAAGGACTTTTCAGATTATAAGTTTAGTCAGATATGTTTGGTGAACAAAAAGCATTTAATAAAAAAAAAAACTTGATTCATTTAGTTTCCAAACATAGCAAATAAACTGAATTCTACTGGTTATTTCCTAATTTGATATCACTTTCCCTCTCATAGCCTGTGGTCAAATTCTTTATACTCTTTTCTGACTATATATTTTCTCAAATTACTACCTTTTTTTCTAATGGTATAAACTTCCTTTTTGTTTCCCAAAAAATCTTCAAACATTTCCTATCTTTTGTATACATTTTCTCAAACTTAATTTCTTTTCATCTTATTCACCTACTGACCTTGTTTCTATTTTTTCTGTTTTCTCTATAGAAATACAAACAAAGCCATTTTCTCCGTTCCTTCAGGTCACTTCTGAGGGCATATCTGTTTCTCTGATATTTCTTTAATCACCTAATTCATTTGTTTATTCACCTAATATTTACTGAGCATCTCATTGTGTGCCAGGCACTGTATGATACTATGGAGATATCAGGAGGGAATAGTCTCTGCCCTTGAGGATCTCAGGCTAGGGGAAATCAGACGTTAGACAATTAGACTAGAATATCATAACTACTATAATGTAAGTATGTGGAAAGTACATGGACCATTACTATTCTCTTTCCCCAGCTATACTTGCAAAATATTGGTTTTTAAAATTGTTACAGAATTTTCTTGAGCTTTATAATAATTTATTAAATAGTTTCAGAAATGGTTCAAAACGTCAACTTGAAATAGCCATTAATCTACTGATTTTTCCCAGCTATTGAATACATTTTCAGCATTATATGTTATATGCAGATGTGCTAGAGTATGTTTTGAAGCCAGAGACTAGAAGATGAAAATTAACTGGCAGAAACTTTCTGAGTTGATTCCAAAAGAAAATATATGATCATTTGGTTTCCTCATTAAGATGGGAAATATACCGTAGTAGATGAAGAATGGGCTAAGGCTTGAATAAATTAAACATTTATTCTGGGCCTATCTCTAACTTGCTAAGTTTTCTGTACTGGTTACTTAATCCCTGGACAATCAAATATATATGCCAATCAAAATATGGTGAAAGAATAGGTACTTATTGATTGATGTTTATGAAGAACTTTTGAGTTCTTTAGAGAAAGTTCTAATTACACAGAAGTATATAGAGAAGACTATAGTGATTCTTCAGCCCTGGACTCTGTGTAGCCCAGGTAAATCTAAGATATTAAGTAAAAATTTGCTATAGATGTTTGGAGGCTTCTTTCAGTCAACTTACCCACTCTTTCTAAGGGGTTGGGTGTCAATTTGTGTAGAAATAAGATGTCTTGTCCCGGGAAGCCTGGCCCTGGACCAGACTTGGGTATCTAATGATAAGTCCTGAGGCTCATATTCATTAGACATATGGTCCAGACAGACTCAACAGGATTCATTCTTCTGTTCATAATAACAAAATTTACTTGAATCTTTATTTCCTTTATTTTTTTTCAGTAAGTATATACAGAACACCTCCTAAGTATAAGTTACTTTGCAGAGTTCTAAGACTACCCTCAGGCAACATGCAAAGACAACATACCACTTGGGTCACTTATTAGCTCTATTAGTTATTCATGTTTAAAGTGTATTACTTTGAAAAGTTCGCCTTTTATTTGGGAAAATGTGGTATTTTGCTTTAATTTTTTAAGCTGATTTATATTTGAGAATCTAGGACCAGCGGGGTAATTGATAAAAAAATCTTTAGGCTCATTGTTGTCTGAAAATAAGAGCTTCACTAATTTTGAACTTCAATTAAGAGTCAATTTAAAATAAAATAGTATCTACTGAAGGACATTCTGAGATTATTAGGACTGCATTTCATGTTTCAAGGAATTTACAATTTAGACATTTATTTATTTGTTCCTATAGGGATAGAAATTGACAAAGAATTCTCTATTATTTTTCAATGACATGTTTTTAAGACTACTAATTTGATCATTGTGACACAACATTTTCAAATTTTCTTAAAGGTTTGCAGCATCTGTATTCCCCAATACAAACTTGTGTCTTTTTTCATTGCTTAATTCTCACAGCCATTGTAATAAAATAGCAAAATGAATGGATTAAAAATATAAGGGAAATTACAGTATTTAAGATAGACACTAATGATTAACCATGGTGTTCTCCTGACTTCTTAAAAGTTAGAAGTTTCTGGTCAGTATAATTTTATAATTTTTATTTGTCCCTTTGGTTTTCATAGTGTCTTAGTTATAGCTACTTATTTTGTGTTTTTGTACTCTAAAAATAAATTCAGAAGTATGTTTTTCTGAAAGACATGGGATCTTAATTTTTTTAGAGTGTCTTTTTACAGAATAATATAGCTTCTGTTTTATCATTCATGTTCCTTTCTTTGTTATCATTAAGGATTAAATTTTTTTTTTTTTTGAGACAGAGTCTCACTGTGTTGCCCAGGCTAGAGTGCCGTGGCGTCAGCCTACCTCACAGCAACCTCAAACTCCTGGGCTCAAACAATCCTCCTGCCTCAGCCTCCCAAGTAGCTGGGACTACAGACATGCGCCACCATGTCCGGCTAATTTTTTCTACATATTTTTAGTTGTCCAATTAATTTCTTTCTATTTTTAGTAGAGACGGGGTCTCGCTCTTGCTCAGGCTGCTCTCGAACTCCTGAGCTCAAACAATCCGCCCACCTCGGCCTCCCAGAGAGCTAGGATTACAGGCATGAGCCACCGCGCCCGGCCCTATTAAGGATTAAATTCTAAATTAAAGTTTTTATCCTAACTGAAGGACCAAGAAACCATACATTGAACCCTTGACTGAAATTTCTTTAAATAATGTGATTTTTTTTAAAAATTTACAATACTTTAAGTGTTTTTAAATGATGTTTGTAATGATTACAGTACATTCCTGGAGCCAGTTCATATCTCATAAATAAATCCTCAATACCTGGGAAATGACAAAATGGGCTACTCATATCTATTTATAATTATTAATGGACAGTAAATGTATGTTCATGTCTGTCAGTAAATATCAAGCTAACTGGTTTTTATGTCAGTAGACTGAGAACTATGAGCAGAGAATACGTGAGCAACAGGAACAGCTGTCACTTCAACAAACAATTATTGACAAGCTAAAATCACAGTTACTTCTTGTGAATTCTAGTCGAGGTATGTTCATGTTAATTTTATGTATTTCTTAAACCTCTCAGAGTTTTTCTATTTTATTCCTCTGTTGTTTCTCAATAGTTCAGATATAATAACTGGTACAGTTATATATTATGTTTATTTAAATGAACACTTGCAGGATATGGGAAAATGGACTCCTATATATACTATATAGTGGAACTCTAATTTGATAAAACTTCCTAAAAGGCAATTTGCCAATAAATAGCAAAAGCTCTTTAAAATGTGTCTTTTGAACCAAAAATTCAAGTCCTAAGAAAATATCATAAGAAAATGTTGTTCAGGGACTCAAAGATATATATGCAAGGATGTCCATCACGGTATAATTTTTAATAATAAAAAACTAGAAACAAATGTCCAATAAGTTAAGTTACAGTGAACCATATGAATAACCATGTACCCAAGAAAAGTGATGATAACAGGTGTTAACTTATATGTTCACAATATATAGCAAAGTGAACAAAGCAGTATACATAAATAAATATAATGTTATTTCATTTATGCGGGAAAAAAACAATTAATGAGTGAATTTATATGCATAACAATAGAAAAACTCTGACAGAGTAGAAACCAAAATGTTACCAGGAATAATTCACAAGTGATAAAAATTGTGGGTAGCTTTTATTTTTTATTCTTTTTTTTTTTTTTTTTTTTTTTTTGAGACACAGTCTCACTGTGTTGCCCTGGCTAGAGTGCCGTGGCGTCAGCCTAGCTCACAGCAACCTTGAACTCCTGGGCTTAAACAATCCTTCTGCCTCAGCCTCCCAAGTAGATGGGACTACAGGCATGTGCCACCATGCCCGGCTCATTTTTTCTATATATATATTTTTAGTTGTCCAGATAATTTCTTTCTATTTTTAGTAGAGACGGGGTCTCGCTCTTGCTCAGGCTGGTCTCGAACTCCTGACCTCGAGCGATCCACCCACCTCGGCCTCCTAGAGTGCTAGGATTACAGGCGTGAGCCACCGCGCCCGGCGTATTTTTTATTCTTTTTGGCATGTCTACATTTTCTAATTTTTCTACACTAAGCATGGAGTAGTTATGTACATAAATTATCTCAAATAAGAAACGCATACCTGAAAATATGACTTATGTAAAAGTTTAATTGTTGCTGATGGTAAGATGCAAAGACCATATTTCTAGTTTTCTAGATTATATGTATTTTACAGACCACTGACTTAGTAGGGGTTTTGTGTGGTTTAGTGGGAAGGAAAAGCTCTAAATGGGCAACTTGTCAAAAGAACTATTATCTAAACAATTTTTTAAAACTCATAGCTTAAAATCTTGTCTTTCAAAATTATGGTTGTGTGTATTTTTTTTTTCAGGTAAAACCAAAAATAAGGGCTCCCTCCTAACATCCAAGAGATTTTTGTCTTGCAGATAATAGTTATGACTATGTTCCCCTGCTTGAAGACAGTGAAGCAAGGAAGAATAATTTGACTCTTGACCAGCCACATGATAAAGTGAAATCAGGAATACCAAGAGAAAAACAATCAAAGGTAGACATTGCTTCTGCAAAAAGCAACATTCAAATTCTGATGCATAACACATTCTCCTCCTTTTATTTTCCTGAATTGATACACCACTGGAATTCCAAACAGAAGTTTCATATATACAAACATATAACTTATATGGTCCTAAATAGAAGAACTATTTCCAAGTAAAATTAAAGCTTAGGTTTTATATTTTCTAGTGACCTTTTATTTGTATCACAAGCATTTAACAAAGAAAGAAAAGGTTAAACTAAGGTAGAAAGTAAGACACAGATTAGAAAATAGCTTTCTAGTGTTTGCCTCAATTGCCTGTGCTTAGTTTAAAAAAACTCCACCTAACCAGCTTAAGCAAAAGTCTTCATTGAAGCAATATAGGAAGAAATAATCACATATCTGCTAATAGACATATACAAGGACATTCATGCTACTTTGGTTAGAAACAACCTAAATATCCATCAACAGCAGAATAGTACCTCTGTAGAAAAATTAAACTAAATATGTGTTAATATGCCTAAATTTCAAAAGCAATGTTGAGTATAAAATGGAAATTATGAAATGATAAATGGGAATAATTTATGTAACTATGAAAACATAACAACATTAATGTTCGTGAAAACACAAATATATAGTAAGAGTGTAAAAACATAGGAAGGGTATGTATCTTTAGAAAAATTATCCCCTCTAGAATTGAGGGGAGAGGAGACTGTGTGATATCGGAAATGGAGTAATGGGGGCTTCAGTTGTCTCTGCAACTTTTTTTTTTTAAATAAAAAAAATCTAAAGCAAATATAGCAAAATGTTAAATTAGGGTGGAAGATAGATAGATGTGTATTATATCGTTCTCCATGTTGTCCTGAATCATTGAAATTTTATAAATTTTAGAAGGAATTTTTTTAATGAGATGAGTTGGGTTTTAGTGGGATGATACATCTTTTGAATAAATATTAATAAGAACTCCTAACACATAAGGTTTCTTAATATTAACAAGACTAATTAAGTCAAGAGTGCTGTATTTCTTTCTTCCTAAATAAGTTAGGAGATTTTAGCTTTGTTTGTCAGGGTTATTTGGTGAATGATTCCATAACTAAAACTATCTTATTATTTTACATCAAATCTGAGAAATCCAATTTTGAAAGCTTTTTCTATAAAAATAAAATTTTAGAATGAGA